CCCCCCCCCCCCTTCCTCTCTCAATAAACACATCCTCAGGTGAGGATTTTTTTAAAAAAGCTGTTTGGGAAAGCCAGAATTGTCCAGGAGGTTGGGGTGGGGGGCTGTTTGGCATCTGGGTGAAGGGATTGCCCTCCCCCTGTTTCCACCAGCTTCTTGGTACCTACAAGGTGCCAGGCACAATTCCAGGTGCTGAGGACACAGTGGAAAATCAGGCGGACCCCTCCTCCTTTGCGGAGCTGACATTCTAGAATAGAAGCCAGGCATTAAAATCAGTGCTCAAAGAAACTTGCAGTGAAATGTCAGGTCGTCATAAAGGCCATGAAGAAAAATGCACCAGAGCAAGGAACAAAGAGATGCGTTTACTGATTCCGAACGAGGAGCTTCTGGGGAGTGGTGAGAGTTTGTTTCTTAGCCTGAGTAGTTGGTTTGTTTTATTATTGTTGCTCTTTAAAACTGGGCCCACAGGTGAAGCCCATGAAAGTGTGTGTGTTTTTAATTCATGGTAAAGGAAAACTGTTTCCCTACTCACAACACTTCTGACACCCAATGTATAGGTTTTCCACACCAAGAGATTCTCCAGTTTTCTGTGGACACCAACTGGGGTGTCCTACAGTTCAGTGCGACACTAACTATCCAGAGTTCACGCAAACCCCACAGATTAAGGACTCAGTCCCACAGGACTGCTTCCCACTTCAGCCTCCAATAGCTAAATAGTTGCCACCCATACTTCTGACCAACTGCTATAATTCGAGAGTTCCCACAGCCTCCTCCTCAGGTTCAATAATTTGCTATAATAGCTCATGGAACTCAGGGAAACATTACGGAGGTTTCCCAGTTTATTATAAAGGACATTATAAAGGATGCAGATGAACAGGGGCTGGAAGGGTCACAGGCACTTCTGTCCCCATGGAGTTGGGGTGTATCACCCTCCCAGCACATGGATGTGCTCACCAAACCAAACACTCCCTAAACCCTATTGTATGGGGTTTTATGAAGGATCCATTATGTAGTCACGACTGATTAAATCGCTGGCTTTTGGGGATTAATTCTCCAGCCCCTCTCCTCTCCCTGGATATGGAGGTGGAGTGGAGCTGAAAGTTCCAACCTTCTAATCACATGGTTGGTTCCTCTGGAAGTAACAGGGGTTCTAGAAGCTCTGTGCCAGGAATCGGGGATAAAGACCAAATATATATGTCTTATTATATCAATAATAAGGCCAATTTTCCTTCAGAGAAGAGTATTTGTGGACTCAAAGTTCTCAGACTCATCTGTATCTGCTCATTTTTCCCATTCGGAACCTCAGAAAACCACTCCTCCCCACTCAGTGCCCTGACTTCAGCAGAAGAGTCCATTGAAATGGCTTCGCCACTCTGTAACCCATACAATCAGGCCTTGGGCCTGACCACTTGCATCTGTAAAAGAGATTCTATAATGGCTTCCACAAAACAAAACAACCATATGTTCTCACACACAAGAATGTTCATTGTAGTGCCCTGGCCAGGTAGCTCAGTTGGTTAAAAGTGTCGTCCTGATACGCCAAGGTTGTGGATTTGATCTCTGGTCAGGGCCTACACAAGAAACAACCAATGAATGCATAAATAAGTGAAACAAGTTGATGTCTCTCTCTCAAAATCAGACAATAAAATAAATTTTTAAAAAAAATGTTCCTCATAGCAACAAAATTGGAAACCACAGGCCATCAGCCGGAGAATGAACAATTAAGTTCTGAGCTATTGATTTGTACAGTTGGAATATGATAAGACGGAGAAAAGGACTTTTCTAGAACCATTTAAGTCAACATGGATGAATCTCAGGAATGTGTCACTGAGTAAATAGAATCAAATGGCAGAAGGACACAAACAGGAGGACATATTTTTATAAAGTTGAAAAGCATGCACAAAATAGCAATCTAGTATTTGAAGATATAAGTAGAGTGAGGGGAAGAGTCATAAAAATCTGAGGAAGTGTATTCTAGGTAAAGGGAGCAGCTACTGCAAAGGCCCTGAGGTTAGACAGTGCCTGGTGTGTTGGAGGAACAGCAAGGAGGCCCTTGTGGCTGAAGCAGAGTAAATAAGAGAGAGAACAGGAGGAGGTGAAGACCAGAAGGGGACAGGGCAGGTCAGGCAGGGCCTGTGAGCCACAGGAAGGAGTTGGGCTTTTCCTCTGAGTGAGGTAGGAGCCAAGGAGGGTTCTGAGTAGAGGAGGGACATGGCCTAACTCAGGTGCTCACAGGTACCCTCTGGGCAATGAAGGGAGCATAGACTGTGAGGGGTGAGGGCAGGAGGCCTGAAATAGGACAGAAGCAACTACATTGGTCCAGGTGGGTGATGATGGGGAATGGATAGGGAGATGTGAGAAACAGGCCGATTTTGCTTATGAACCAGAACTGGGTGTGAGAGAAATGGGGGAATCAAGAAGGATCCTAAGATTTCTCTTCCTGAGCTGGTGGGTATTTCCATTTTTCTCTTGAGTCCTTACATAGGTGGACTGAGCAGACACAATGAAATATAATTTGTTCATTTGTAAACTGGCCCCATACACAGAGGGCAAGGAGAGACCAAAGAAAGAGGCAGATCATTCCAGATTGGCAGGTGGCAGGTTTAATAAGCAAGGGAACATACACAAAGGCTTGTTTTTGACCAAATGAGTAGATTTCTGTTCCTACTCACTAGAATCTCAAAATTTATACAGAGGCCTCAACTGGGTCCAGTCACATAATACTGTCCAGATGGTCTCAACAACACCTTACTCTCTCAAGGCTGTGTTCTCGGAACAGTTCCCACTGTGGGGACAGTAGGTAAAGCATACATTCCAAAGAGAGGGGAGGTGGGAGGAGCCTCCAATTTGTCCAGGTCCAGCTCCAGGGTCAACTGGTGATCTCATCCTCTTGATGACCTCCTCCAACAATACACTCCTTTAATTCCTCTCCTTTACCATAGACACTCTGGAGATGTCTCCATGTCGGTACAGATCCCCTCAT